CCCTCCCGCGCTAGCCTAAGGGCCACCTTAGCAAAGCGCATCCCAGGCTGCATAGCCGCACTACCCTACCCAACCATACCACACATAAACATGACACTACCCCCGGGGTTTACACAGACGAGCCGGCGAAGCAAGAAGAGCGCCAGAAGAAAGGGCCCTAGCCGGCGGGGCCCAGCCAGGACAAAAGGAGGTCCCACAAAGCGCCTACACCGGCCGCATTTGCGGTCGGGGTAGACGACGGATGGGGCCCACCTACGAAGGCTGTCCAGGCCTACACGAGATGAGGCAGGATAAAGAGGGATAATCCCCCTCGATCCCAAATCATTGAGGCCAATTTCTAGCCATGGAATAATGGCGCGGCGTATCTACCATTTCAAGATTTACAATCATAACTAACTTTTTCTAATTATCAGTTCGTCATTGTTACGATGGTCTCAACATTAGAAAATTTCCATTTCAGAAGCGTATTTGAACAATATAAAATGATGTGTAGCTTTTTTAAAATGCTTCTGATATTGTTTTATGACATTTTTATTTGTACGATGAATGGCAAAATTCGTAATCCATATTCGAAACTTTTTTCAGTGGCTTCTCAAAAATGATGGGGACCGCCTAGCCGAGTGTCTTGGCCGGCGGATTTTGATCTGCCGAGTCACGTACGTGAGCTGGAATTTGGATGGGTGATCTAAGACAGACTCGGGGACGTGGCTGTGGCAGCCTACCAAGAAACCTGGGTCGCCCAACATTTGCCGCACGCGTGTGGTCCCCGATAAATGGTAATGAGAACAGAGCAAGAAATCTTTATAATTCAAGACCATGTTATCATACATAAACTGTACGAGACTTTGCCACCAAGCCATCCGTGTAGTAATGGTTTGAAGAAAAGTACTCGAGTAATAAACGAGGGTGTACAAGGGGCCTAATATGGCCTAAGTGCCGTGGTGGAAGACAATTCCACCACCCCTCCGACATACATACATATATACAATATATAATGATGTGCAGCATTTTTAAAATGCTTCTGATATTGTTTTGTGACATTTTTATTTGTACGATGAATGGCAAAATTCGTAATCCATATTAGAAACTTTTTTCAGTGGCTTCTCAAAAAGAAAGAAATTCTTGGTAAAAGTTGCCGCATCCCCAAACTAGAAGAGCATATATTTATTTTTTTTAATAAACAATGTAACAACTTTTTTAGTTAAATTTTTTGAGAAATCAGAAAAAGTTGTCTGGAGTTCGAATTAAGTCATTCACAATACAAATAAAAATATCACAAAAGAGTATTAGAAATATTTAAAAAATTACTCACACTATTATTTATACTATTTCAAAAACGCTTTTGAAATGAAAATTATCTAAAGTTGAGAGCATTATGAAAACAATATGGTAATAAAATTATTATGTTACTCAAACATTTCTGAAAATATACTGAAACGTAAAACAAAAATATCGAGTGCATAAATAGAACATAAAAAGAATGTTACTGAAACCAATTTTTTGAAACGTATTTTGGGGAGGACATATTGGGTTTCTAGAACGTTACCAGAACGTTGCATGGATTTTTTATGAAGAAAATTGGAAACGTTTATGAATGTTAGAAACTGAAAAATGTTTAGTGGGAAATGTTCATGCAAAATTATTTATCGGAAAAGCGTTTGAGGTCTATCCAACGGACTATGTACAACTCTCAATGTTCATCTTCGTCACATTCCGCCTATACCATTGGCACAGCCTTTACATTCACCTCAAGCAATACCTACACCTACACCTACTCCACCTATATACCATCCAGATGAGTACAACTCTCAATGGTCATCTTCGTCACATTCCAACTACACGGCACATCTTCGCCTTCACCTCAAACAACATCTACACCTGCACCTACTCCACCTATATACCATCCAAAAGCATCTACAGAAATGACTTCAAATACTACTGTCACATTGGACTTATTATCTGAAGCTTGGAACTCCATCAATAATAAAAATTCATGTCGATGTAAACATACTTTATTTAAAAAATAAATACATTGAAACATTTTGATTACAAACTACATTCTCATTAGTTTACTAACCTTAATACAATCCGTTAGAAAACTATAATATAGCATCAGAGATTTCAGGAATCGTCAACGATATAGCTGCTTTGGATAAGTACTCTAAATAGATGCGAAAGAGTGCGTAAGCTGCATCCATTATTAATCATATACAGAAATATTTGCAGTTTAATTTTTGAAGATAATGCACTTCTCATAAATGAATCCGATTTTGCAATAGTCAGTAACTCATTAAATTTATCTTCCGTCATTCGCATTGAATTACAAAATTCAGTTGGATCCTCATTAATCAGTTCCTGGAAAAGCTTATTATTAGCTCCATACTGAAGTCTTCTGCTTATCCATTTTCTTTGCCATAATCTCTTAGGTTTTTCGATTTCAACTAACAATTCACGTTCGATTTCTGATGCGATGACTGCGACTGTCTTTTTTTAATGTTTCGCAATTGTAATCGTTGTTCGCCCTCCATTCTGTACCGACACTTTGGACTTGTAAGAAGCATTTAGCACTGTGTGAACATTTTGTTTACACTTAACACAACACCATAAAAACATGTTAACTAATCACATCTCACCTGCACGTTACTACACAAAATGTAAATCAGCCATTACGCACACTCGCGCGCGCTTGCCCACGCACATGCACGCCCGCGCGCACCCACACCCACTCACACACACACCCATGCACTCCCCCGCGCACACACGAGATAATAGACCGAGAGATATTAGACTGAAGTTCGACGACGTCTTTCTCGTTTATGCCTCTGAGAGTATACTGAAAGGTAACCGAGAGACAAGTACAATAAACTAAATTTAAAAGATGGGCTGCGGGACACCTTTGTGAAAATTCAATTTTCCTTTCCAAAAAAATAATGTGTACAGCGATGTATTTCTCACTTATGCCATGTTCGTAAGTTGAAGAGAAGTATCGATTTTATCACAAAATTTTTTTGGCATAAGTGTCGCAAGGGACCTAAAAATGGAAAACTTTGTAAGAAAATGTGGAAAAACATCTTTATTTGTCTACCAATTTCTCATTAGTGCCAATTAGAAATATGACATTATTATATTCGAAAAGCTCATAAAAAACATTGGCATAAGTCCTACTAAGAACTAAAGAAAATAGGGCTTTGGAAAAGCTGCCGAAAATTTTTATTTTCATTCTATAACTTTCTCATTTATGCCGTTGAAAATTTATGATACTTACTATAAATAATGTACTGTGTCAAGTAGGCATCACTCCTCTATGCGTCCAATATGAAGGCATAAGTCCCAAAGTTGTAGGAAAATTCATGAAAATTTTTACGTCTTTCTCGCTTATGCCATTTTGCATGCACGTAGGAAACTACATTATAAAGTCATATAACGATTTTCATGTTGTAAATTAATTTGAATTTTAATACGAGTCAGGTCGACAAAGTAGAAAAATAATAGAAAATTGTCAAAATTTTCTCGTTTATGCCGTTTTGTACACGAGTAGAAAATATTATTAAAAGCCACTTTCAAGAGTGGCATGAATGCCACAAGGTACCAAAAATTACAAATTGCGGTTATTTCCTCGCCTGCGCAATTTTCGATATACTTAAATTAATTTAAGGTGGCCATATTCCTGGCCAAGAAATAGTGAAATTTCTGGCGTTTTTAGGTACTGAAATCTTTAAAAGTAAAACGTGTAGAACAAAAGTAAGCACAAAAATAAAATCCTTGATGTTTTGTTTATTCATTGTTACCATTTAAATTTACTCAAATAAAATAATAACTATAAAAAAAGCGTTTGTAAAACATGCGTTTGCCGTTATTTTCACCCCACATTTTAAGAATTATTTTCACATACTTATAAATAAAAGTAAACAATTTTATATGTAGGACTAAGCAAGTAAATGTTATAAGAATATTTACATGTGGAATTATATATAAAAAAGTTAGTATTTTCGTAGATTTCAGTACCTAAAACCTTGATGGTTTGATCGTTTTTTGCACCTGTTTATTCGTTTTACTGCGGCGTCTTTGAAAATACTCAAGGTGGCATGACATAACATTCCTATTATTTGATAAGCTTTAGATTATTCAGTTATTAATTGTTTGAAATTATTTGTCTTTGCGGAAAACACTATTTAAAGAATAAGGGGCCCTTAAAAAATATATCATAAATAATGCAAGTGTCGAATAAGATATCTATATAAAAAATGAATATTTCTAATAACAGGGAATAAAAAATTTAAAATAAAAAAAAATTTCATGAAAAAGAGAAAGCTTTGTATTGGGTTTAGTTTGATTTTTCAACATGTTATTTTTTATTACGATAATTCTTAATAACTTATAATAAAGCTGGTAGTAAGGACTTTATTTTGATCAGTTTTCATCAAGAGCTGCAGATAAAACTGTTTGAAATTTGAAAATGTAAAAAATCATAAAACCGAAAAAACTTATATTTTTGATATGCTCTAATTTTAAGTTAATGAAAATTTGTATTATTTTAAGTGTTATTGTTTGTGTTAATTATAATTAAAAATTTGTAATCCAAAGTCTTTGAGGAAGCATTCTGACAATTGAGTTGGCAGCGGTATTTCAATTCAATTCCTATTAAATAAATCTTTTAATATAAAAATGAAATGTATAAAAGTACAAATTAAGTAATTAAGGTACAAAGTACCAGAAACAAAAAAACGAAATTCAATATACATGATATTAAATCAGTTATAAATCAGTTTCTTCCCTATGTATTCTAGCTTAATTCTTTCTCCTTCTTCTTCTTCTACCTTAGTCGGCTCAATTCAAGTAGATCATCCTTGCACTGTAGCGGTTAATTCCAATTATATATTTTTAATTTTTAAAATTTAAATATATTATTCATAAATACGTATGATCTATTGTGATAAAATACTCTACTCATTTACGAATAGGCACAAACGAGAAATTTGTGGCAATATTATATAATTTTTCTTTTTCTGATCATGACTCAAAGAATAATTAAAAATCATTTCTAATATGTGGGGACTTATGCCGAACTAGTTTATTATTAACTTTCATTAAATACATGAATTACTTATATTTATAAAAATTAAAAATCGCTAAATGCAAGTAAGCATAAGTATTTCGAAAATTGCGCAGGCGATGAAATAAACTTTTTATAAATTAATACATAATATAATAATGTCATATTTCTAATTGGCATTAATGAGAAATTGGTAGACAAATAAAGATGTTTTTCCACATTTTCTTACAAAGTTTTCCATATTTAGGTCCCTTGCGACACTTATGCCAAAAAAATTTTGTGATAAAATCCATACTTCTCTTCAACTTACGACCATGGCATATGTGAGAAATACGTCGCTGTACACATTATTTTTTTGAAAAGGAAAATTGAATTTTCACAAAGGTGTCCCGCAGCCCATCGTTTAAATTTAGTTTATTGTATTTGTCTCTCGGTTACCTTTCAGTACTCTCAGAGGCATAAACGAGAAAGACGTCGTCGAACTTCAGTCTAATATCTCCCGGTCTATAAGAGGGAAAGGTGGGGAGAACAGAGTGATAGCAGGAGGAAGAGGCAATGGGGGAAAGAAAAGTCATTTATTAATATAGCTTTAAATATATTTTCTATTAATATATTTTACACACTAATTTTAAATGTAGTTTCAGAATGGCTTTCTTTGGATATTTTCATTTACATGAATTCATGCACAAGTGCTTAAAATAATTTAATTTAATTAAAATAATAAAAATATTAAATGCCTATAATTTTTTTTACATGTTCAGTATACATACAACGTGTCCCAATATTCCCTGTACACGGAACTACTATAAGTTTTTAGGGTACAAAAAAGATTATTAACTAAACTTGTGTCTAGCCACTTTGGTCGCTTCGTTTAGTCACTAGAGAAATTATTTCCAATAGTTTTCGCAGGAGAATATTGAATTACATGTTTCTGAACTCTATAAAGCATAATTTATTTTTATCAAATATCTGTTTCTGAAAGTAATTAAATAAGATTTAATATGAAAATACATTGATGATATAAAAAAAAATTATTAGGTGAAACTTGGAAGCCCTTACCTTTATAAAGAAACAACTGATGCAAGCTCAGCAAAAAAAAATGAACAAATTTAATTAACGGTGGGGGAATTTTGCCCCATTTCTATAAATGCAAGTACTTTGGTTTTGTCAAATAGTAACATCTATAACTAAGTACTAGTATATCAAATTGTCTTTAAATAGGACAGTTTTAGTTATTTCAAAACTTTTTTGTCAAATTTGATCTCCTCTGGTGGCTAAACGAAGCAACTGTGGATATAAGGGAATGTACCGGCAATATTAAGACACCTTGTGAATGTCCTAACAGGTGAAGGAATATGAAACATTACAGAAAATAGAACATTGGTTAAACAGCCAAAGCTGTACACATATCTATTAACATGTATTTATAGTATAACATAGAAGCAGTTTTTAAAAATCGCTTTCATATGGAATACCGCTCAGGGCTCACTACTACTTACAAAATTCATTGTTGGCACCAAAATAAAATTTCCATGGCCCTTTTTTTTATTATAAGTTATTTTTAAACCCATTTTTGTCAATAATATATCAAATTTATTAGAATGCGGTAAATTCAAAAATAAAAATGTCTCATATGTATAATATATAATTATGTAAAAACAATAATTACTTGAAAGCCCTTGGCAAAAATCAAACCATTTTTCGATATTGCGTGTAATTAAAGCAAACCAATCCAATTTTGTCCGTTTGACCGATAAACTCGTACGATATCAACAAAGTACGAATTATATGACAAAAATTTGTCCGTCGTTTATGCTCAAAAAACATTACCTAATAACATGCACATATACAATCAGGTGATTATCTATATTAAATCTCTGTCAAATACAGGATACAAGAAATCATAAGTTTTATTTCATACACATTTTTTTAAACACAAACGATTGCCAAAATTAAATGTTTCTAAAATCCATTCATATAAAATTTTCCCATATGCTGTCTACTGGTGATTCTGTATATACATAAAATATTTACATTTTGTACATATCTATAGTCTAAGCACTACCACAACAATTTCTGGTCGAGTTTGATTGATCATCAACTATGGAAATACTGGATTTTTGCAAATTCAGATTATCACAAGATGAACTGTCAGCTTTTACTTTATAGTTAAATAACATCTTCTCGGTAAGTGTTAGAAACATTTCATCTACTCCTTCATTGAATTTAGCTGAAGTTTCAAAATGGATGGCCCCAACTTTTTTAGAATACCTAAAATAAAAGTGTGATCAGTATTTATTGACAAATGGTGATTTAGCTGCGCGACATAATGCACTGCTATGCTGGGATCATTTTTACAGGGTTTTTACAGGTTTTACTACAAATTAGTAGGTCAACCCGTTAACCAGATGTTCTTTGGACTAAAATATTGTGACTTTTCTTATGCCACTTTTCATTTCAGAGCCCCATTTTTAAAATACAAGGTGTCAAAATTAAAATTTTAAATTTATTGATAACTCCGGTGATTGTAGAGATATTTATTTGAAATTTAGTACACATTTTAATCTTAAGTCGGCATACCTTTTGTGTAGTTTTGGTTTAAAATATCAAAGCCTGAACGGAGGGAATGGGGAGTTCCAGTACCCATAGACCTATTTTTTTTTTGAGTACGCCTATGCTTTCCCAATATTTTTTTTTTTATATAAAGCGACGTTTTATTCTACTTTTTTTTCACTCTTGTAAGATTTTTATTCAAGGCCTCGTTTATAAGATATTGTAAACTTTTTTGGATATGCGACATTGATTTAGTACTTTATTTTTTGGGGTTATATGGAAAATTTGAGTCTTCTTATTTAGTAAGAGATAAAAAAAGAATACGATGATGACAACGCTGCTACTGTTGTATTATGTACTCTGTTCAAGACAATCCAAAGATGTCACTCAGGAAAATGTCAGAAAACAGATACAGTAGAATACAATAGTGATTTCGGTAACTGTAGTTAGTAATGACTAATTACAGTGACTAAAATTTTGATATAAAGTTAATTAGAACTGCGTCGATCAATATCTAGGAAAGTACTGCTCCGAAAAATTTGAAAATTTGTCAACATGCCAATGTCGCTAGAGCGAACACAGCTAAAATATCTAGAACTCTTCTGCACTTCCGGTTATACCAGAAGTCGACACCAACTTCGTTATTTTAAATGGGACACCCTATATATTATTGCATTTTCGGATTCTACATGAAATTTGGTCACATTATTAAACAATCCCTATACCTAGGAGTTACGGATTTTTGATATCAAGCTGATTTTTGGTACCTGTAAAAGGCACACGTAAAGCTGAATTATGGTATACCAACAAATTAAAACGTTTAATACTAGGTGTTTCATTTTTGTTGTTACATTTTTATGACTTCAAACAGCTTTTGTTAACTTAAATGGAACACCCTATATTTTTTTACTCTGTCGTAATAGTTTTTGCTATAAATTTAAATAAAAATGCCTGGGAATGTTTTAAATTATACTTATGAGAATTATTTTAATTTGTTTGTTATTTATGGAAAAAAGCACCAGATTCTCTACATGTTTTTTAAATTATTTTGTCACATTTTCCATAAATAAACAAATGAAAGTAATCCTCATAAGTATAATTTAAACGATCCCCGGGCAATTTGATTTAAATTTTCAACAAAAACTATTACAGACATAACAATTGACAATTATCTTGACAAATGTCAAGTTATTTTAATTGTTTTGTTGTTGTTTTTAAGTGTTTTTGGTCATGGCCAATTTGACGACAGGTCTGATACGAGACAAAGTGCCCAAAAATAGAAAATTGCAAATATCACTAAAAGTAGTAACGGCAACCCTAACAATGACTATATGGCTTGAAAGGAAATTTCAATCTGCAAATGACAGAGTAAAAAATATAGGGTGTTCCGTTTAAGTTAACAAAGTTATAGCTGTTTGAAGTTATTAAAATGTAACAGCAAAAATGAAACACCTAGTATTAAATGTTTTAATTTGTTGGTATACCATAATGTAGTATATGCCCTTTACAGGTACCAAAAATCCACTTGACATCACGCTCCTGAAAAGACTAGCATCTCCGCGGACCCTTGCATCTCTCACATTTTTTCTTTAAAACAATATATCCAAATCTATAACTCCTAGGTACAGGGAATATTTAATAAAGTGACCCCCAAATTTCACGTAAGACCCGAAAATGCAATAATATATAGGGTGTCCCATTTAAAATAACGGAAGTTGGTGTCGACTTCCGGTATAACCTAAAGAATTCTAGATATTTTAGTTCAGGGACATTGCCATGTTGCCAAATTTTCAAATTTTTCGGAGCAGTACTTTCCTAGATATCGATCGACGCAGTTTACGGTGGGACACCCTGTATGTATCAATCTCTTTGTTAATAAACAATTAAAAGTAACATTTTTTTAATTTAATACTGTTTACATATTTATTCCATTAATTCGAATTTTCCAGTACTCAGGCACTCTTAGGTTTTTAATCATGTTGGATTAATGAGATTTTACTGTATTAGCAAATCTCATATTCAAAGAATTTTAGTAAAATGTAGTATATCGCATGAAAGAGGAAAAAACAAGCAATTTTTGTAGCGATAGCCTACTTCGATGACAATTTTTTTTTGCCCACGTAGAGGGCGCAGCAAATTACATACAATACTTCAAATATTTGTTTACATTGAGTGAAAGGTTGCTGAAAGTTTGCCACAAAATTTTATTAAAATAAGTTTTCTCTATCTCTTAAAATGAAAAAGTGAGACGACCCTAATCTTTTGGTACTTTCCCAGTTTTTTATGATTACTCATAACGTTGGCGATGGATTTTAAATTTATATTTTATTTTGACGAGCATCAAAACCTCAAAAAATGCAAGAAAAAAACAAAGATTTTTAACGTGCATCGTGTATTAAGCGAGATACATAGGAGTGGTCCTTTTATAGTATTAACTTATGTGACTTATGTTATCTTTGTGAGTCCTATCTAAATCCGAGAGAATGCTCACCATTTCCTAAATACCCTGTATAGGTATATATACAGGGTGTTAGTAAATAAGTGCGACAAATTTCAGGAGGTGATTCTACAAGAGAAAATAATGGCAGTTTGCTTATTAAACGTTTGTCCGCAAATGATTCGTTTTCCGAGATACGGGGTGTCAAAGTTTTTCTTAAAAACTGACGATTTTATTTATTGCTCTGAAACCGGTCGAGATGTGCAAATGAAATTTGGTGAAATCATCGAAGAAACTAACATAATTGAATATTATTATATATCAATGTATTCGCAATGGTTCCCGCTAGTGAGTGAGATAAATTTCAATGCTCATGAGATCAGAAGAATAATTTAAATAAATGCTAAAGTACCTCAATGTTAACCATACTGTTAGTCTGTAAATATATTGCATTTACGACGGAACTAGATGAGGCACAATAACCAAACTACTTCACTCACTAGAACGGACACCTAGGATCATTTGTATTTAATTTTCAGATTAATATTTATTAATAATTCTATAATATGTGTCCTCGAGTAAAATGACAACATTTTACACACGACTCCATTTTTATTATACATTTATACCAGAATTGTCGAGATTCCTGCCTGCACACAATATATTTCTAACAATTTTAACTATAATTAGTTTGTATACTCTCTCACAGGTGTCGCTACCCTTGAAAATGAAAGTGAAAACACAGAGTTAGTTTATTATAAAATGCGTGCTAAAATAAAGCATAATGGTCTAATATTATATTTGATATATAAATATGCGTAATTTTTTAAAAGTACCTAAGTAATAATATTTTGTAAAGCTTAAGTAGTACGAAAATATAACGCATAAAAAAACCAATAATATGTACTAATTTTTCTTTATTAAGAATAAAGATTAAATTTTACGTACAGGGTGTCCCACATAAAATCATTATTTATGTTCTAGCCTTGGTAGCTTCAAAATAAATTTAAAGCTTAAAAATTAGTCTGGCTCGGGTAGATTTCTTTTTCAATCTACAAATCAGTAGCTACTTACTGATAAGAAGGAAACCACTGGATATTTAATGAAAAAAGTGACGACCAAAAAAGTAATTCATTCTTGAATATGAATATAACTAACACGATTTTAATTTCATATTGTCTTAACAATCAACTTTTGCTTATCACTTATAGCTGTTTTACATTGACAATTTATTCATTAATAAATTGACGAAGTTCTTCATCAATTAATTCACGAATTTATTGGCAGTGTGGTTTTACACTGCTACAGACTTTGTTAAGTTTTTGACGTATGAATCAGTTCTACCAATGAATCAAAGAAGCAAATAAATTTCAAAAATGTCACCTTTCCACTCATAATTGTAGTGATACAACAGCGGTACCGTTCTGACACATATTGGGTTGATACTTCCGAACTTCACGAAGAAATTGACGAAAATTAGAACATGCTCTAATTCGTCAAGAACTTGATGAATAAATTGATGAAGTTATTTGACAGCTGATTTGGTGCATTACACTTGTCCAATTTCTTGATGAAGCGACTTCATCAATTAATTGATCAATAAATTGTCAATGTAAAACAGCTATTATCACTTCAGTCACTTAGTGTAATACAAAAAAAAACATTGAATTTAAAATGTTTTTTAATTTCTTTTCTTGGTTTTCCATTAGGTATACAAGCCGGGTCTTTACATTTCCTTTTTTCCTTCTTAAAATGAACTAAATGCAAATATGAGAATAAAGTGATATTTCATTACAAAAAATATAAGTTTGATGTGGCGGGGAATTCCAGAACAAAATATTTTTCAAATATGTTCCTTATGTCCTATCGCGTTGCAAAATATATATATTTTTGTATTTTCTGTTAAAGAATAACATACGACATAGCGGCTCTAAAACTTTGCTGCCCTGCGTTACTCCTCGATGTATACAGGGTGAGTCATTCAAGAGGCTCACCATGGGTGCCTAGCTTCTCTTTTATTATAAGAGATTACAGTTGTGTCGAGAGGATTTAAACCGGGTCCGGTCTTTTCATTTAGACCCGCTCTTTTCAATAATTTAAATTTCGCGCCATTTTATAGCCTCAAAGCAAATTAAAATGTCAAATATTGACCCCACCCTACTTAGGTACTGGAAAGATCTCAAGTTTTTAAGAATTTTAATTTTTAATTCTGTATCTAATATTAATAAATGCGTCGAGGTAAAGACATAGTTTGGAAATTCTTTGATTGCATAACTGATAACTAACCTTTTTATACAAAACAGTTAAAAAGAGGGTTTGGGTTTAAACCGGGTCTTTTCAAATGGGTTTAAACCGGGTTCAAACCCTCAAAATCTAAAGACCCAATCCTTTCCCTTCTCTATAAGATACTTACAAATTTGGTTAAATTAGAACAAAGTTACACAATTAGGAGGCTAAAAATATGGTACCAAGAAGTCAAGAATATCTCAATTTATTTTTGAAATACATATTTGGGAAACACTGAAATTTTTAAAAATATAATTAATTTATTTTTTCTTGTCAAACATACACCAAACAACAAGTTTAAATTTTAACGTTTCGTTCTTTATTTGGCCTTCCATCTTCAGGTGTCCTAAGTCTTAGATTTGTATCTCTTTGTTTTGAGTAGAATATTGAGTATTCAGTATGCTCAGCAGAATATTTAGAAGACCTTTTTGTAAGGGTTAAACTTACGTTTAAATGCTAAATTAAAAAAATTGTGAGATAACCAAACTTACGTTAAAATACTAACTTTCGAAAATATGATAGTTGTTTTTTTTACCCCATTTCTCTTTTGATGTAACTACTAAGAAATGGTGTCAAAGAAAAAATAACTATTTCATATTTTTGAAACTTAGTATTTTAATGTAGTTTGGCTCAAACCCTTATAAAAAAGCCTGCTAAACATTTAACTGATCCAAAATAAAGAGATTTGGAAGTTTGGACACCTGAAGATGGAAGGTCAAATACAGAACGAAATGTTAAAATTTAAACTTACTGTTTGTTGTATGTGAAAAACATCATAAATTGCTACCAAAACTGCAACTGTACTTAAAAAAATTAACCTGATGATAGCCCCGGAAAGGCGAAACGTTGTGTAAGAAATCGGATAGAGGGCAAAAAGTGTCAATGAAGATGTGTTTGCAGATTTTCAATATTATTTCAAATAACGCTAGGTACAAAAAAGAAAATAAAATAATTGCTTTTTTTCAGTTTTTTGCTTATATTTCCAAAAATAAACCTCTAATCGACATGAGGTATACTTATTGATTTTGTTCCTGAGGAAATTTGCTACAAGGGTAGGCTTTTGCGAAAGTTCGCAACATTTTTTTTATATTGCAAAATTAGCGATGAATAGTTAAATGTACTAAATTTTCAAAATTAAATAAAAATAACAAATTTGACTGAAATTGGATGAAACTACAGGTAAAGATAACTGTTGGGGTGCTCAACAAATACCTGCAATTCGGACCCCCAAAAAAAAAATGGCGGCGTATTGCAAAATTATATTGTCGAAAACGCGAGCGCGTTTATCTTCTGCCTCATGTCGATTAGAGGCTTATTTTCGGAGATATAAGCAAAAAACTGAAAAAAAGCAATTATTTTATTTTCTTTTGTTATAAATAATATGACGCTCGACCTCTACAAATACACAAATTTAGGCTTTTATTCTGTGTATTTTTTATTTAATTTTAAACCCATAAAATTCGAGGTAGGCCCGATTTTTGAAAAAAAATCTAATTCGCCCGGACTACTAGGCTTATTTTATTCATTATTCAATTCCTCAAGTCTTCAAAATTTAGAAATAAAAAGTTGTCATTCTGGGAACAATTGTTTATACAAATTTTGACTTTTTTATGAACAAGTATTTGTAGAACAAGCTTTACAAGTCGATTTTTCAGAGCACTATATTTCATTTTTGCAATAAGTATTTCGTTCTAAAAAAATTTTTTTTCTGGTCTTCATTAGTATTATTTCTGGTTTTCCATTTAAAAATTAAAGTAAGTAGCAAAAACAAGTGTATCTGGCAATTGAACCCAGATCCACTACAACTGCAGGCTAATTATATTTGAAATCGCATTATATTCGAAAGAAGCGCACCTGTTAGAGCTGTCAGCTTCGAGTCAGCCGATACATCTAGCGTGCGCGTACTCCCCAAATGCCTTCCCCTCTCTTGCTTAGTAATTGTCCAAAACATGACATAAATTAATTTAATTTTAATAAGCAATAGCATAAAATTGATGTAAAGTTTCCCTGGGAACACGATGGTGCAATTATTTTTTTGCTACTTGCCCTAGTTTATGAAATATTTGCGAAAAACCTTATTTTTTACGGCTTTTTGACCTTTTGACCCCTTGCCTGACCACCTAAATCAAAATTTTTTGCAGATTCTGATTCGAGGGTCGAAAACATATTTGCGCCCAGGTTTGATCGACAGAGGAAAAAATGGAGGTTCAGCCTTCATTTCAATGGACTAAATACATACAATATTTTATATATATTTTATGCCTATACATATTATTGTCCAAACGTAATTAGTAGCAAGTTTCTATATATTTTAGTAATTAAGCAGTGTTTTTTAAGTTAATACGACTCGCCAAAGTAAAAAAATAATTCAGGTTAGGTATATATTTTTACTGAGAATAGCAATTAATTTACATTATCGGATTGTTAATGTGAAAATATAAACATTAGACTGTTGACAATTCCATGTTATACGTGTTTTAAGGTCACTTTTGAAGAAGAAACTACATGTAATTTTAAAAATCGTATTTCTGCTTTTATAATGAAGGAATAGTAATTATAAGATTGTTTAAGCTTATTAACTAAAAATAATTAATACTACTTAATAAAAATATATTATTATCCTCGATAATCTATTACCGATTAATAAAATATTTACTCTCTTTCCTTATAAGATTGTATGTACACAAATTGGAGCCGTTCCTGAAAAATCGGGCGAATATCGGTGCAGCGTAAATTATTAGACTTGAAGCATTGGCCGCTAGAGCAGCACCTGCCGGGGTCCCGTTTCGTGACTCACGCTGGACGATATTTTTTGTACAAAATCCTGTCCTTAATAAAACCCCAAATGCAAAAATCTAGAGGATTTAAATCCGGCGATCGAGCAGGCCAATGTTCCGTACCTCCCCTACCTTACATTAATGCTAAAATGGGCTGGTGCACCATCATGCATGTACCACAGCATGTACCATAGGTGTTGTCTCAGCTGTAAAAGAATTTCTTCAAGAAGAACAGGTAACTCTTCATGTAGGAAATTAAGATAAGATTCGCCTGTTAATCGTTGTGGGAGGAAATATGGACCGATTAAATGATCATCAATTACCCCAAGCCATACATTTACAGAAAACTGATGCTGAAAATGAGCTTCAAAGATTCCATGGGGGTTTTCCTCAGCCCATAAGTGATTGTTATGGAAATTTCGTATACACTGTCATCCAAAAGTAGCCTCGTCAGTAAACAAAACGGCATTTAAAAAATTAGGAATTTGAGCGATTTGATGATTAATCCATTGGCCAAAAAATAGACACGGAAAAAAGTCTCTAGGTAGTAGAGCTTGCACACGTTCAATATGAAACGGATACAATTGCTGTTCTTTAAGAATTTTAAATACAGTGAAGTTGCTTACATTCAATGTTTACAATTTTTCGAGTACTTGTTTCAGGTGACTCCGCAATTAACTCAAGAACTGCTTCTTCTAGTTGCACAGTTTGTACTTCTCGAGGGCGCCCACAGTCAACCGTTTGTTTCTTAAATGAACGTTTATGAAGACGAGCAAATATTGTGTGATGAGGTACCCTACGTCCTGGATACAACTCAGCATACAATCGTCGAGCTTGCCGACCATTTCCATTACTTCGACCATAGACAAAATGCATGTCTGACAATTCCGCATTTGTAAAATTTTCCATTCTTTTCGATAAAAGAAAAATTAATTACTTATTAACACTAACGCTATAGCAAACTAAAAGCTTAATAAATTGATAATGACGCTAATTTGACATTTCTTAAAAATATTCGTATTTAACAGACAATTAATGTTGACAGTAGCCTACTAGGTAATGTATTAAAGAAATAAAAAATACGCCTTAAGATACATACATACGAAGAGAAGGCAAGAGAGATTTTTTGTCATAAATTGAACGAATTTAATTTGTAATATCTCAGTGGCGTACCATTTTTTTCTTTAAAAAAATTGAGACTATTACCAGTACACGCACCAATGATGAACATAAAATTGTTAATTGCGTGTCAAAAAATGCGCAATAACTACCTCTTAAAACCCACCAAATTTCATTTGCACATCTCGACCGGTTTCAGAGCAATAAATTAAATCGTCAGTTTTTAAGAAAAACTTTGACACACTGTATCTCGGAAAACGAATCATTTGCGGACATACGTTTATAAGCAAACTGCCATTATTTTCTCATGTAGAATCACCCCCTGAAATTTGTCGCACTTATTTACTAACACTCTGTATATACAATCTTATCTAATAACTAAGATTCAAATTTTCCATGAAAAGTTTTCTGATTTTTAGAGTCTGATATGTCTCAGCCTCTGCAATATAGGAATCAGTTGGATTCTGTCTTTACAATTTGAAAATTTTACAATGTTGTAAGAATACTAAATTGGTTTTTAACACTTCAAAAATCAGAAAATCATTAGAACCAATTTATAATTAATAACTTACATTACAGCTTCTTCTAAAGTTACATGTCTGTTTTTAGCAAGATCAATTTTATTTCCAACAATTACCAGACATATACCTGCTCCCAATATCTTTCTTAATTCCTTAACCCAATTTTTTACTTTCTGAAAAGAATCCTCATCTGTTATGTCATAAACTAAAACAGCTCCATTCGCAGACCTGTAATATATAGGACCCAGTGCATGAAATTTTTCTTGACCAGCAGTGTCCCAAATAGCCAAATTTATATGATCACCACCCAAATTAATTTTTTTATTTAAAAAGGACGCCTAAAGAGAATAAATTATTATATAAATTAATAAAAACAGTTAAATTTTACCTGAATAGTAGTAATGTGACTTGTATTAAATTTATCTTCAACATAACGAAGAACTAAACTAGTTTTTCCCACACAACCTTCCCCTAACAGAACAACTTTAAAATTATAAACTCCATTAGTATTTGTGGCCATAATATATTTATTCTTCATAAATCTTCATTTATTTCATTGTAAAATATGTAGTCATTTTCTCGGACTTAAAGAATTAAAATGCCTGTAAGTCATATGACACAATTATAATTTTTTTTACAAAAATCTAGGTAACTAAAGATGTAATTCTTAAAACCTTCGAGTACAATTATATATTTACTAAAAATTATAAAATACGAAATGATCAAGTTTTATTTGGTTAGGATTACTCGCAGGAATCAGCAAACTACACAAATATGTTATGATGATTTCATTGTCTGCTACTTTGGCGCTGTTCCGCAGTCGTCACCATAAAACATAATACAAGATTGTCGTTTTCGTAATACCAACATGTAAAAACCACTGACATTTAAAGGACAGCTTGCTCCCTCATTCTGTCTGGCTCAGGGAAATATTGAACTAAAACTGACTAATGACCAGCCGATAATGCTATTTACTCTTAAATAACCATCATGGTTGTCAATCTAAAGTGGTAGATCTAAATACATAATACATATATCATTTGATGTATGTATCCTACTATTTACATTAATATTAAAGAAAACAAATTTACTATATAATTTATAGCAAAATGCAATTCCTTTAAATTTCCCCATACCGTCCTTACCTCTCCCCTCCCGCGCTAGTCTAAGGGCCACCTTAGCAAAGCGCATCCCAGGCAGCATAGCCGCACTACCCTACCCAACCATACCACACATAAACATGACACCACCCCCGGGGTTTACACAGACGAGCCGGCGAAGCAAGAAGAGCGCCAGAAGAAAGGGCCCTAGCCGGCGGGGCCCAGCCAGGACAAAAGGAGGTCCCACAAAGCGCCTACACCGGCCGCATTTGCGGTCGGGGTAGACGACGGATGGGCCCCACCTACGAAGGCTGTCCAGGCCTACACGAGATGAGGCAGGATATAGAGGGATAATCCCCCTCGATCCCAAATCATTGAGGCCAATTTCTAGCCATGGAATAATGGCGCGCCTTTAAATTTTAGCTGAATTCACTTGTTTAATGAAGAACTGTGTCAATAATACAGACAATAATACTCAAGTAGTTTGGATATCTCAGTACATAGTTCAAGCATGCTTTAATCGAGTACCTATTGCGTAGATATACGTATTTCACAATTCCTATTCTATAATCAAAATTGAATTTATATATTAACACACAAATATGGTGAACTGCTAGAACGAAAAAAAATTATTTCATTTACTCTGGCACATACTATCACGGTTAGAGTTTGCTTACTATTGTCATAAAATTGAAATAAGTACTTTGTTGACTATATCTCAAAATTTTACATATAATTCCAATAAATAAAAAATATGTACCTATACAAGCTTAAAAGCGTTTAGCAAATACCTATGTTGTTAAAATTGACAATAAAATAACAATCCACGACTTTCTACGAGAGTTATAAACATGATTTGGTGTCCAATATGGTTTGATCTCAAAGTGATTCAAACTGAAAGAGTTATTGGAGGTTTATTTATTAATCTGTTTTCATAAAATAGTGATTAAAACTACTGCTATATTTTAATTTAACAAATGTTTAAGTATATCATTTTGCAACAAAATATTATTTCCATTAAGGAAAGACTTTCTAAACTAATTTTTCAGTTAGACAATTAGAAAGTATCTACATTACTTATTACCTATTCCATATCACTGATGACAACAGTAATCCATCAGGTTCATTATTTAATAATGAAAAACAAAAGTTCCAAGAATTTGGTTGAACAATTTCCAGACTGGTTGCCATGTCGTCAGTTTAATCGAGAGACATCTGAAACTGAAACCTAAACTATTTATACAAAACAATCGATGTTCAACTGTGTCATCACTGATACACTCCTCCCTCCAACTGGAAACTAAGTCCACTGGTTGGTATATATATATATATATATATATATATATTAACATAAATCTGACTCTAACAAT